AGTACGTAGCGTGAATATTAGTACGTAGCGTGAATATTAGTACGTAGTGTGTGATCCTAAAACACATCCGAGTTGAATCAAAGTCGCTTTTTGAAACTATTTGAACTGAATCTGTCAGAATACCTTGAAGATGAAGTGAGCTTTATGTCAGCGTGCAGAATCATATTAGAATGATCTTCTGTTTTCATATCTTTTCATGTCGCGCTAATGAAGCTGAAATTGAAGCGTAACTAAAACCTGCAGGAGTCCAAATTTAACAAGAGACATTTTCTAAAGGTGTGAAATCTGAACTGGAGTTTGTTTTTCCCGCGTCCACTAGTGAGGACGACGTCTCTGCTGCTTCACACTGAATCCTCTGAAGCCTCTCTTCTTCTTCTCCTCCTCGTTAACCCACATGTCTGAGTCCTCCTCCCACTGATCCTCTCGTCTCCTGAGAGGAGAATCACCCTTTAATCCTCTCAGTCATGATGACTTCTCTGTTTTACATCCGGCTCCATCCACAAGAAACACATTTTCATAACAAAGAACACTGCTAACATTTCACAAAGCTTGCATCATGCATCCTCGTGCTGCTCAACTCACAGATACGCTGTTTCTTTGCTTTTCTTTCACCTGACAAATACATTTTTTTTGCACAGTCCTCCAAATTTCCTACGCTTTTATTTTTTGTTAGAAGGCGTGTGACCGATCAGCCCCCCCCCCCCCCCTTTGTAAGCCACTCTGGGTTAAACGTACAAGCTCAATGCTTCACACGTGGAGTGAAGGTGGAGTAAAGCCCTATTTCAACAAGGATTAAAGTCCAAAGTTGTTGTTGTTTTTGAGCGTCGAGGACATTTTGTTCCTTCTGTTCAGGCCGACTCCTCGTGTCTTTCCACAACAAACTTGTCAGAGTCACAAATCCTTCATGCAAAGTTTCACTTCAACAAATCCTCCCCCTCCAAAATAAAGGTTCCCGTTCTCAAAGGGGACGACGCTCCATCTGGTGTCAGTCTTCTAATCCCCCGCTCGTCTATTTCTGGCTTTCAAAAACTCGTTTAAATCCCCCCGTGGCCGTCCTCTCACTCTGTTGTCTCTATTTTCTCTCCCGTCCTTATCTCCCCTCCGTTTCTTTTATTGTCTTCTGGGGAACAAATGTTTTCCTGACAATGATTGTCTTTTTCCTCCCCTCCATCTCCCTCATTGTTCCTTTCCTCCCATCACTCCCTTCCCCCCATCACTCCCTTCCCCTCATCACTCCCTTCCTCCCATCACTCCCTTCACTCCCTTCGGGGCGCTCACACATCGGTGGCGTTCAGGTGGGTGGACACCACGTCCTGGGTTTCAAGCACGATCTTCTTCGCCCTCCCTCCTCCTCCCCCTCCCCCCACGGGGTGAATGCTGTCCAGCCGTCCGCCCCTCCCCCTCTCCCCTCCCCCCCTGCGACACTTGAAGACAGCGAGGAAGGCGGCGCGGTAGTTGCGGTTCATCCAGCCGTACAGCAGCGGGTTGGCGAAGGTGGAGCACATGGCGACCACGTGGAAGACGGTGTAGAGCAGGCGGAAGTCGCGCATGTCCAGCACCGTGCTGTCGATGTCGGTGGCCAGCTGGAAGGCGTGGAAGGGCAGCCAGCTGACGGCGAACACCACCACCATGGTCACCAGCATCTTGGTGGTTTTGCGGCGCCGGCGGTGGCGCTCGGCGGTGGCGGTGCTGCTGCCGGCGCCGCTCTCTGCCGGGCTGACGTGGCGGCGCAGTTTGGACCAGATGTGGGCGTAGGCGAAGGAGATGATGGACAGTGGCAGGAAGTACTGGAGGATCAGCATGGAGATGCTGTAGACCGTGCCGTCCGTGTTTTTGCCGGGCCACTTCTCCGTGCACACCTGAGACACGACAAGAAGATATTCAGTTTGTTTCATACTTTAGGTTGGTGTGAGTTTACTTTATATCGATTTAAATGTCTTTAGCATTAACGTTTGGAGACGGGAGATGAAAGAGATGGAGAGGCAGCAGAGAGATCAAAGAGAGCGGGTGTGTGTGTGTGTGTGTGTGTGTGTGTGTGTGTGTGTGTGAGTGTGTGTGTGTACCTGTATGGTGTGTCCAGGCTGCAGGCTGAAGGAGCCGTACTCTCTGAAGATGGCCAGAGGGCTGGCGAGCACAGCGCTCAGCACCCAGGTCAGCGCGATCACCCCGAAGCACACGTCCTTACGCATCCTGGTCTCCAGGTGGTACACGATGCACCTGAAACACATCCACACATCTCATGTCCATCGGTTGACTTGTAAAAGATCGGCGGACGGCTGTTTGGATCAATAATGGAGGAGGGAACACATCCGTGTTTGTTTACAGGAAGTGCACCGCTATTTATACCTCTCGCCTTCCTGTGAATGTTTTACGAGCTGCCACTTTGGTCGCATCTCTTCCAAAAAGGAAATGACCTCGAGAGACTTCCTGGTTCAAATAAACGAAACACATCTGCTGTTTTTTGTTTTTCTGTTGGAGAGATAGTGAAGGCTGTGAAACAGGAAATAAGGAAACAGCAACGTTAACCATCGTAGTTTAGCTTGTTATCATGCTGACATCTGCTAATTAGATGGACACTAGAGAGATGCAGCTTTAACACATGAAGCTTTGACTTGTTGCCGCCTGTTAGAAACAAATGAGAACATTTCTTCAGAGATGGTTATGTTAAATATCAGCTGAAGACATGCAGAGTGAATTAGTTTGTATTTTTTGGCCTGTTCAGCTAATGGACAGAAACACAGAACTCACATCGTGAAATGTTTCTGCCAAACACAGAACTTTCACAGCGAGTGAAGAAGCTTAGTGCCGGCGGTCTGTGGACAGGTGGACTACAAAACCCACAAACCTAGACAACAGATTGAGGACGTGGGTGAGAGCTCCAGGAACATCTCAAAGGACCGAATATGTTCACAGAACAAGTGTTTAAAGTCCGCTGCTTTATTTAAATCCTGAATCTTTTGTCTTTGAAGCAAACTTTCAGCGCAGCTGTCGGTGTAGTTTATTCATGTTCTGTGCTGAGGAGTTGTGTTGGATTCCAGCAGCTCTGAGATCAGGTCCTCAGGTCAAACAGGGTGAGCTTATGTAAATGTTCCAGTCTTAACTCCTACACTCAAAGCAGCGGGGGCGTCACAGCGGGCTCCATCTGCATGTGAATCTTCATTATAATCCTCTTCTTCAGGTGAAAATGACTTTTAGACTTTTTGCCGTCAGCTCAAAGCGAGCGAGGCGGTCAGAGTCCAGCAGCTCATCAAACCCAAACTCTTCCTCCAACATTTCAATGTCACTTCGCTCAACTTTTGCAGAATTAAACTTCCCAGTTCAGCCGAGCGAGCGGACGTTGTTTTCCAGAGCGAGCTACAGCTGAAGATGAGCGTTAATACGAGATATGACGTGTTTGGAAACAATTAGAAGAAAAAGTTCACACAACAGCCTGAATTAGTTTCTTCTGTTTTTACAAACTTAAACTTCCTGGAGATAAAGTAGTTATGAGGCCAAAGAACGAAATTATTTCTTGTAAATTAGTAAAACATAATCTTGTATATTTACTACTTTAATACCAGAGGATATTAAAGTTTAATTTCCTTGTAAATTCTATTTTATTTTCACCTACAACGGCCCTAATGCGTCCTCGTATTATTGTGAACATATTAAAACTGCGACATGAAAGTTTTAACAGACCGTGATCACTGATCCCCGCCTTCCCTCTAAGCCCCGCCCACCGGTGGCGGTCCAGTGATCACTGATCCCCGCCTTCCCTCTAAGCCCCGCCCACCGGTGGCGGTCCAGTGATCACTGATCCCCGCCTTCCCTCTAAGCCCCGCCCACCTGTGGCGGTCCAGGGCGATGACGTTGAGCGTCACTGTGGAGACGTGCACGGCGAGGCCCTGGGCGTACGGCAGCAGGAAGCAGAGCGTGCTGCCGAACTTCCACTCTCCCTGCAGCGTGTAGACGAGGGTGAAGGGGAGGCACAGCGTGTTCACCAGCAGGTCGGCTGCAGACACAACACAGGAAGTTCACAAGTTAGTAGACATGTCCTCCTGGGAATGAGACAGATGTGTGTGTTTAACATCTCTAGGATTGATGCTCTTTGGTGACGTCTTCTTTGGACTTTCTGTTGCTGCTGATGATCTTTTTATGAATTATCTCCTGAATAACTGCTGATGCTGCTACTGCACGAGGAGGTAATATTGAATATTCTACAAGATTAAAGTCAAATACATTTTCAAGAAGAAACAAAAAAATGTTCCTTCGAGATTAAAATAATTAATTTATGAGAACGAGCCTCAAACATTCAGAGAGATTAAAGTAGTAAATGTAGTGAAGACGGATGAAGAAGCCTTTAATCACCTCGTCTTCACTACATCCACTTTTATCCCTCAACCAAAAAAAAGTTTGATAAAAGTCTTATTTATCTTCCACCGAGGAGCTGATGTTCCAGTTCGGTCTGTTTGTCAGCTGGATTACAGACAGTAAAACTACAGACACTGAAACTACAGACACTAAAACTACAGACACTAAAACCAGACACTGAAACTACAGACACTAAAACCACACACTGAAACTACAGACACTAAAACTACAGACACGGAAACTACAGACACTAAAACTACAGACACTAAAACTACAGACACTAAAACCACAGCAACTAAAACTACAGCCACTAAAACTACAGCAACTAAAACTACAGACACGGAAACTACAGACACTAACACTACAGACACTAAAACTACAGACACGGAAACTACAGACACTAAAACCACATACACTGAAACTACAGACACTAAAACCACACACTGAAAATACAGACACTAAAACTACAGACACTAAAACCACAGCAACTAAAACTACAGACACTAAAACTACAAACACGGAAACTACAGACACTAAAACCACACACTGAAACTACAGACACTAAAACTACAGACACAAACTACAGATACTAAAACCACAACAACAAACCACAGACACTAAAACCACAGACACGGAAACTACTGACACTAAAACGACAGACACGAAAACGACAGACACGGAAACGACAGACACTAAAACGACAGACACGGAAACGACAGACACGGAAACCACAGACTGAAACTACAGACACGAAAACGACAGACACTGAAACTACAGACACTGAAACGACAGACACGGAAACGACAGACACGGAAACTACAGACACGGAAACGACAGACACTGAAACTACAGACACGAAAACGACAGACACTGAAACGACAGACACTGAAACGACAGACACGGAAACGACAGACACTGAAACTACAGACACTGAAACTACAGACACGGAAACGACAGACACGACCGACATCAAACTTGGTGGAAAAGGTGCAGCGACGAAAAACACATTGAGTTTTTAGAGCGGACACACAAATGACATTATTTAAATGAATCTCTTCATCAGCTGATTGTTGTAGATGTGTGTTAATAAGTGTCATTAGCTCCTGGATCTGTACTGCACACGTGCAGACTAGCACTACACTGTCCTCACGTATCCTCCACTCTGCCCTCTGAGCCCTGCTCGGTCTTCCACAGACATGGGGGCCCGGCAGGGACTGGCCCAGTACCGGAAGGGGGGCCAAGGCCAAGTCTACGACCCTCAATCAGTTGGGGATGTTTGGACTGTGATAAGAGCATCGTGCCACATCGTGTTAGAGCAAAAACAAAAAGCTGCAGGGTCTCAGTGTGCTCCCCTCCTCCCTACTGGAGTCCCCAATGTTGCCCTTTAGCTCCCTGTGATGCTTCAGGACTCAAACAGAGTCGGAGAGAGAAACATTCTTTCAAAATATTTTAGGAGACAGGATTGAATGTAAAGGGAAAAAACATTCTGATATCAGCAGCACCCACGATGGCCAAATCATAACTACGTCCTTCAAAATAAAAGACAAAAACATGATTGATGGCTCGATATATGAGCTGGTGGATTTGGTTAAAAAACACCAACATGGACTGATGGGAGGAGATAAGACGCCAACGTCTTTGCCGACACAACACAACGTATCCTCGTATGATGACGTGTGATATCTTACAAAAAGTCCAGCGTCACGCGTCAATAAACTTCTCTCTTCACAGGAAACTAATTAGCTAGGTTTAATGAGTAAGGATCGTTGTTTGGGTTGAAATAACTAGAAGTTTCGTTACGCAAGTACAGAAGTTACGTGAAATAAATCAACTTGACTTCTGGTTTCACACGAGGAGCATCGGTCTCCTGGGTCAAAGGTCGCCTCCACTCTCCCTCTGTGTGGTTGTTTGGTCGTCATACTTGTTCAGGACATGCTGTACATACAAAACATTTTGGTGGGATGTCTACGAGTCACGCCGCATTATTTGTTGTAGGAATAGCTACGAACGCTGACGAGACTTTCTTCTTTCTCTCCATCTGACCTAAAGAGGTTTGTCATCTCAACATGTGTTGACTGTTTTGACTGTTTCAGACATTTAAACAAACGACTCGTGTTTTTCTGGTGAGGACCAGATCCAGTGTCCCGTTTGTTACTCCAGAGAGAAGGACGTCACTCCTCGTAGCCTCGAGGTGTCTGTGAACAGCATCGTGTCATCTGAGCTGTCCGATAAAGAGTGAGCGTTCACATAAAGACAAAGAGACGTGGAGGGAGGGCCAGCGAGCAGCAGCCAGCTCCTGTTTGTGTTTTCAGGGTAATTTAAGCGACGACTTTCTGGCTGCCGCCGTTCTACCTTCCTGCACATTTCACATCACATCTGTCACGCTGCTCCTGCTCCTCTTCCTCGCCTGCTCTGGTCTTTCCTCGCGGCGGCTTCTTCTAGCTCAGCCGGAGTCACATATCGAAGAAATCTGCTTATTAAATGTAGTGAGCATACGACGACTATATATGTCCACATTTCTGGTTACAGGTTGAGCTACATTCTCCTCATGAATATCGTTAAATAAACATTCATAAATATATTCATGAAGTAACAATATTTCTTACTTGAGATCAGTATTGTTTTCCTTGACAACTCCGTCTGTGTAAAAGCAGATATTGAGACTCGTCCTCCTGCATCTTGTCCCAGAAAATACAAAATAAAAGCTCTTTCTCCGTCTCTTACTGTCTCTGAACGCAGCACTTGAAGCAGTTCAGCACATTGGAGGACGTTGATGCACTGAACACAAACTACACGATGAAATTCATCCTCGACAGCAACAAGATCTCGCAACACAAAGCGAGACATCGTGCGATCGTTTGAACAGATCGGACGACTTTAATGAAACCCAGAAAGAAAAGAGGTTTTGTGCCTCTGAACTGTATTTCCTCTCGTTGTCTTTGTCGCGTCGTCTGTCTGTTTTAAGTTGAACTGTTTGAGTAGAAAGTTTCAAAGGAACTTTGTTTACAGTACCCGTTGAGTTCAGTCAGTCGCGTCCATTTGATTTCTGCTCACTGTAAAGCTCCTCTTCATCTTCTCTCATGGAAACATTAAAGTGTTCGACTCTAAAAGGAGCAGCTTGTTATTTTCTGCTACACTTCTTTATATTCAGTCCGCCTCTGTTCTGGAACGCACTGCAGCGACTTCTGTAACCTTTAATGTAACTATGAAAGACTGACAGCAGGGCGATGTTCTCCTTCTGCCTCTGAGTTAGGTCTCTTTTGTTTTGAGATGTGCTGAAAAGGTAGAAAATGTCCAGCTGCCACTTCCTGTTCATGACTTTATGTTTGTTCAGCGTTCATATAACGTATGCAGCCTAATGTGCTGTGCATTCAAGAATAGATACAAGTAGAACGCCTTCCTTTTATAATTTAAATAGATAAAAGCAACAGGAAGAGAGAACGCGTTTCACAGATAAAGAGTTGAATAAGAACCAGAAAACATTTAAAATAAAAAATACATATATGAAAGTCAGCAATCCAGAATTGCTGCTACTCAAAGCTGCACTACTCAGTGCTTTTAAATGTAATGTTAGAACTATCTCATACTCTCATTTTCTTCTACTTCATGAACTTCTTTGTGTTTCTCGAGGGTGAAGTTTGAACTGAACTCGTGCTCAGCTCGTCTTAACCCGAAGGGTCAGTGAGTCACGACTAAAGAGATGTTTCTAAACTGGAGCTCTCCGTCGCCTTGCGGAATCACAACACTCAAAATAATTTCAACAAAACAAAAAAACTCTGGAAACCACAACAAGCATCTAACTGAGCTAAACAGTTAACAGTCTTAACAGTCCTTAAGATTATTTATAATGCTGTCACTGTCCGTGGTCCTGAAGTCACTTTCCGAAGGCTTTCGCTGTCTGTGGTCCTGAAATCTCCCCCTGCCTCATCTAAATTGACCCATCCTTCCATGCTTTCTCTGAAGGCTGTGTTATGAAGGTAATGTATTATTGTTCATCATCAGCCCCCCCCCCCCCCAACACACACAACGACAGACAGCGCTGCCCCATTTTCACACTCCATTACTCCTCATTGTTTACATGTCATTTTTATTTGCCCGTGCGCTTATTAATTCACCTATTTACTTGTTTTCTTGTTCATTCATGCATTTATAACGACATGTTTATTCATGTATTTGTAATACAGAATGTTTTCATGTTTTAATTAATCTATTAATAGATTGGATTAGAAGTCAAATTTATGTTTTAGTAATTAAAACTGTCTTCAGATACTGACTGCACGTTGTTCACCGTCTTTCTTTTGCGGTTTCCTCTCTAATAATTAAAAAATATTTCCAAAAGAACACCTTAAGAGAGCTGACTTTGAGTTGCTGTTTTGAACACGTCCAGTGCCTCTCAGGCAAACACGATCCAGGCAGTAAAAGTATTTTTTGATCTTGCCACCAGTGTGAAATTTCAAGACTGAGCATCGTGTGTCACTTCACAGGCGGAGGACGTGTGAAACCGGCCTCGTCCCACTCTCATTATAAATAAATAGAGCTGAGGTGACATCAGTGGTTGCGCTCTGACGGAGTGTTGTTGATGTGAGAGGACTCAACAGATGTTCGGTCAGAGTTGAGATATTCTCCAGCTCATTAGAACAACGTGAAGCTCTACAGGATGATGCAAATACACGGTTCCATCCTTTACGTGCTGTAAAGCCGGCTCCTGCTCACACGATGCTGAGAAAATGATTTTTTCTATCACTTTGTCTCCATTTTTAGAAAGTACTGCATTTCCTGTTGGCTGTTAGGAAAATGTATCGGAGGAGTTTGACCGCCAAGATCAATAAAACGTACTAAATGAAAACGTGTAGAAATGTAACCCAAACACCAAAGTGATTCTGGACTGTTGTGGTAGATTCTGATATCGATTTCTATGATTAAAGAAATCAACATCAACGGGACATTTAGGAACATAAACAACCCGTCTTCACATGGACAGATTCTGCACACTTAAACGTTTTGTTGAGCCGTAAACTCAACGATTTCATGCAAAGCTGACATGAAGTTGACCGTTTGGGACGAATCTACGTCAGGTTTCTCGGCCCCTTCTCCACTTTTTTTGCATTTTCTAAATGATGCAGTGGGTGGAGGTCGGCATGAAGTCACACTTTAAGAGTTGGGATCAGGGTACCTAAAGAGTAGAACATCTTACAGGGTAAAAATCAACCTGTTGTTCAGCTGGATATCCTGATGAAGGAGAGTTATTCTTTTCATTTAAAGTCAAAGTCTCTTTGTCTTTGTCTTCCACTCTCTTCGTCCGATTCAAATTCCTCTTAAAGAACATTGTCCGATGCTTATTATCAAATGACAGGAGGGTTGAAGTACATGCAGCATGTACACACTCCTAGAACGACTCCTCTGAGCCTCTGGGAGTTCTATTTTTAACTCGTCACATTTTACATCTGGTAACAATGGCGCCGGTTTGTCCTCGTGAGACGTGTGAATGTCAAACACATGAACAATGAATCTCTGACAGAGCAGCGGACATCACGGGGAAACAGATTACAACAGCTGACAGATGTTTGAGTCCTCAACACAGACGACCTACAGAGGGCAACACACACACACACACACACACACACACACACACACACACACACACACACACACACACACGCCATCATGTCTGGGAGGATTTACAAACTGACGGGTCTGACAGCTTCAAATCAGAGCTGTGTGTGTGTGTGTGTGTGTGTGTGTGTGTGTGTGTGTACGTACCAACAGCCAGGTTGGCGATGAAGAAGTTGGTGACGGTGCGGAGCGTCTTGAAGCGGTAGATGACGTAGATGACCAGAGAATTACCCAGAACCCCCAGCACGATGATGGTGCTGTAGGCCAAGATCAACACCACCTGCAGACGACGATAACAACAACAACAACAATAACAGCAGCTTAGTCAACTTTACTGCACCTGCTACTTTAATCTTTTTGTGTATGTTTGTGTATATCAGAAGGAAATATTGTACTTTTTACTGCAGTATATTTGTCTGATGTTTATTAGTAAAGATTCATGTTGAAGGTGTAAGAATCAAGCGTCTACCTGCACACTCAACAGCGTGATGGGGTCCTCTTGAAAGTTCACTCCCTCGAACACCAACGTGGGCGGCGGCGGGGGGGCGGCGCCGGCATTCGGTCCGTAGTCGCGGTAAACGTCCGGCGTGGCATTGGCTGCGCTGAAGGCCTCCATGTCCGATCATATGTGTTCAGACATTTAGTCACTCGGCTGTGAGGACAAAGAGACGGACGCAAAGGTCAGCGACAGGTAAGAAGACAAAGGTCATTAAAGAAGACTCCATCTCCCTTAAAGCTGCACTAACAGGATTTATTTGGCCACTAGGGGGCAGAAGAACAGCACTGATATACTTTTGCCTTATAAAGATGAGTGTTTAAAGGACAGTTGACCTCAAAACCATAAACACATGTTCCTCCTCTCACCTGTAGTGCTATTTATCACTCTGGGGTGTTTAGGTGACAGATGTCGGCCTTCTCTGATATAATGGAACCAGATGTCACTCTGCTTTTTGTGCTCAAAGCGCCCAAAAAAACATACGTTGGAAAAACTCAACAGCAACTTCTCTTTCCAGAAACCCTGACCCGGCTGCTAAAGATAATCCAGACCTTTTTGTGAGCAGTTTCATTTCGGGATTATTTTCTTTACTACTGAACTACGCCAGCCGACCGTATCACGGCGCAGAAGGAAGCGTGCATCTCAGCTAGACAACGCCACAGCTCAGCCAAGGAGGATGTGATTTGGGGTGAACTGTCCCTTTAACGTGTTGGCAAACAGTTTGGATCCAAACATCAGGTGGACATCTTTAGCAGCTAAATGCTCCACTGTGTTCACCAGCTTGTGTCTCTGTGGGAGTCATTCTGCCAGAGAGGACATTTCTCCACTCGTCAACCATGTTTGACTTGTTTCAGAACTGGTCTTTGTTTCCAGACAAACAGCAGATTAGCAGCAGTAATCTGAAGCAGGAGAGGATTTACGCCAGGCTGATTCCCCTAAACCCTTATTTACATGAGGTTTGGTCCGTAGCCAGTTTACACCCTCATGAGCCTCCATCCTGTGAACAAAGGACCGTGCACAGCTCACATGGTTCCACTCACAGATCTGAAGCAACGGTCTGTGGTCATCATCTCAGATGTTGAACCAGTTATTCTTATTCTTAAATGGACTGTGAGTATAAATGACATCAGATTACTTCCAAAAGTAGATCATCAGAAAATCTCCAGTAAACACAGCGAATAACTCTTAAAGCAGAATCACAAATGCATCTCTTTTATGAATACATTCAGATTAAACAATCAGAGAAAAGAGACTTCCAACCAAACTCTCTGTAGAGAAACATCAGCGGTTTACTGACGTTACTCAATAATATTCAAATGATGTGCATAAAGTATGCCTTTGAGAAATGAGGTTATATCTATTAACTATCTATATCTATTACATCTGGTAACAGCAAGTTGTTCAGTTGTGTTGATGAAGACAAACTCTGTGTCATGCAACACTTCATGCTTTCCAGCTCGTGTTGCAAACAATCTGATTTCTGCAGCGAATCTAAAACAAAGTGACAGAGTTTGTATCTGAGGTCTTAAGATGTTGACTCCCATTGTCCCAAAAACGTGTTCCAGTTCATCCTAACTAGCAGGTAAACAATCCACATAACAGCACGAGACTGAGGGGAAGTCAAGAGTGGCTAAAAACTAAAGTGCAGACGGTGGAGCAAACGTAAGAAACACTAGTTGTGGAGAGGTACTTCTTCTTGGAGGTACTTCTTCTTGGAGGTACTTCTTCTTGGAGGAACTTCTTCTTGGAGGTACTTCTTCTTGGAGGAACTTCTTCTTGGAGGTACTTCTTCTTGGAGGAACTTCTTCTTGGAGGTACTTCTTCTTGGAGGTACTTGTTCTTGGAGGAACTTCTTCTTGGAGGTACTTCTCCTTGGAGGAACTTCTTCTTGGAGGAACTTCTTCTTGGAGGAACTTCTTCTTGGAGGAACTTCTTCTTGGAGGTACTTCTTCTTGGAGGTACTTCTTCTTGGAGGAACTTCTTCTTGGAGGAACTTCTTCTTGGAGGTACTTGTTCTTGGAGGAACTTCTTCTTGGTGGTACTTCTTCTTGGAGGTACTTGTTCTTGGAGGAACTTCTTCTTGGAGGAACTTCTGCAGGAAGTGAAGGACAAACTAGCTTTCAGATTTAGCAGCACCACTGGTTCAGTGTTGAAGTGTTAGTGATGTTGATTTATTTGAAAAGACCATAATGCTTTGCAAAATAAGGAAAATCATTATTCAAATATTGTTGTAATTTACTATACAACATAGAACTGAAGAAAACACAAAGAAACTCGTTTTGCAGAAACACGTCTGAACATTGGGTGAATCAGTCGGTGCTGCTCAGCAGCAGATGGTGGTTGTACTGGCAGCTCCCAGTGGACTCACACCATTAAGCTGCAAACATGCAGAAACTAAAAGAGAAGCTTTCATCAGCTCGGACGGATTCAGACCAACGTGGGCGAAGAGAGAGTCTCAAGCTGCCAGAAGGATTTCTGTGTATTTTGATTTGTGTAACCAGAAAATATTCTCTTTTAAAACCTGGAGAAGAAAACCCCAACAGGCTACACGCTACTGATACTGGATCATGACTAAAACAATATTTAAGAATGATGGGAAAATATGAAATACAACAACAGGAGCTTTAACCTCCACAAAGGTCATCCCCTGTCCCCCTGTTCATACACTTCTGGTTGACAACAAACCAAGATGTGACGGACAGAAGCTGAGCCGGCAGAATGCCATAAAAATGAAAAGGCCTCAACTTGAAAGACAGTTTCCATGTTTGAAGCATCCAGCAGTCCGTCACGGTGCAGAGACTCACACTTCACTGTGTTCACAGGTGGGAGGAGACACACCAGCTGTGTGTCAGAGCTTGTTCACACACACACACAGCTGTGACTTCTCCGGTTCACAGCTCGACGGCCTCGGGGGGGAAAGTCAGTCTGCACTCAGACATTAGCAGCGGAATACTTCCACACAAACACACTCGCACCAGCGGGGAAGTGAACGCACTCACAAACAATGCAAACTGCAATCTCTAAGTCAGGCGCACTCACGTGGGAACACACACAGTGAGCGGATCCACTGATCAGGCTGCTTGAGGGCGTTCAGCTCTCGCTCCCCGCTGAGGATCAGTGACGGTAACAACTCACACTCGCCAGGAGAGAAGGAATAAAACAGCACGAGGCGGCGTCTCACAAACACACCTCACTGAAGGTCTGAGGGGGTTTGGAGCACAGGCGGGACAACCTTGGCAATTGTTTCCAATCCACATTACAGGCGAGTGGGATTTTAACTTGTAAATATAGTGAAGAACCTGCTGCCTGTCCTGCTAAGTTACTGCTGATTTTGTTATAATGAAATAACGTTGGACTTCTTCTGGAAAATGTGTTTATCACCAAGTCAGCGGAGCTAATGACGGGGCTTTACTGTAAAGCATTGACAGGAAATGAAAGGTGTTCATCAACCGTTTCACAGCTGAGTGAGTGAAGAGAGGGAGCAGAGGATCAGATCAATAAAATGTTGTTTTCTGACTGTTTCACACCGGTTTTGTCCCCAAACAGACAAACACAACCAACTGGAGGAAGGTGGGACATTGACACATTTTGAATGAATGCAACCAAAGCCAAGGCGGCGAGACAAAGCGGTGTGTATTGACACCCTGAGAACGAGAACGGGCCGCACACCCTGTGCTGTTATTGGCTGGGGGGTTACACCCCCACTGCCCCAAAACACTGACGCCCAGAAACAACCGGAAATCAGCAAAATCAGAAGAAAAGAGAAGATCAGGCAGAGGACAGCGTCTCTATAGACACAGACACCATCAGTCACTGCTAACCAGGAGGCAGTGAAGTCTTCATGTGTTCAGAAGTTCATTTAAGAACATCTCAGTTCTGACATCTCGTCTCTGGAGCCACATGTTAAGCTCAGGCTGCACACATTCATCTTGTACCTGCTCAGGGAACGTCTGTAAAAGCTGTTTTAATGCTGCAGTTTGAGCTCAGTGTCACAAACAGCTGGTGAGCTGCTGCTGCTTCCAGACGCTAGTTCACTGTGACAGGACTCACGACTCCATCTACAGATTTGTGACTTTAATTATGTTTAAAGAGTTCAGATTGAACTACGACAATGAATTCCTTTTTGTTCTCTCAGGACCGTCTGAGGACATCTGCAGTCAGACAGCGTTGGAGGTAATAAAAGAAGCCGGAGGGTAAAAGTCCCACAAACACAAAACACTCAGAGTCACAGGTTTATGAGAAAAGAAGGATCATCGCTTCCCTTTGTACGGTTGGATCAACCTCATCACGGCACAGACGTTAAACACTGTAGAAACGTGAGCCAACGGGTACAAAATACATCAGTTATATTGGTATTTATTTATGTTCATGAAAGAACATTTTAAAAACTCTTGTGCGTGTATCTTTGAGCACCTTGTCCTCGCTCAGAGGAGGGTTGCAGTAATAATCAGTAATCAGTTCATCTGAAACCATCACATCATAGCACCATCACACCATAACACCATCACATCATAGCACCAT